TTCTCCAGAGAAAATTTTTTAGCTCCTTACTCCTGACGCTAGGCAAAAAACTGGAGACTTGTCAGCAGGTGGGGGGTTTGGCCACCGGCAGGGGCCGCCCCTAGGCTGTAATTGGTCTTTAGTTTTGTGCCTAGCTTCCTTCTCCTGCAGGTGGCGATATTACCCTACCATTCAGGATCTACGATCTGTTGCCTGTGTCCTTCAATGAACGGGAGAGAAAAGGGCCTCAGTCATGAAGGGGTTAAAGTGACACTAAACTCAGAAATAAAATAATAAAAATAGCTTCTATTATATAATAATCAATGACTGTGTACCTCTTTCTGATGAACTACAATCTCACCTTTAGTTTACAAATTTGTACTGAAGTTAAAGTCTATAACGGGAGTGAGCTTGGAGAGGTGGCTACTTTACACCACACACAGCATCATGGGCAACAAAAGTAGCCATGTCAGCATGAATTCAGAGATGATTTGAAGATCTACAGATCTTGATGCACAAAAAAGGTAATTTTTTGTTAATAATTAAAAGGTACTTGAATGCATTTTTAAGATTTAACTCCTGAGTTTAGTGTCACTTTAAGTGCAAATTTGATAATTTAGTTGCTTGATACCATGGTCAGTAGATTGCCGCAGACCATTAAAAGCGCCGCAGCAGGGACAGATCCTGACAATACTGTCGAGATCCACCCAGCTGCGTGAGTGATAGCTGGCTCTGCCTCTCTAGAGACAGAGCCAGCTGTGCCTGACCCCTCCCCGTTCATTCCTCCACTCAGCGCTGGAGGATAAGAGAGGGGAGGGGGGAATCCCTGTGGGGAGCGGTGACTGAGTCACCGCTCACTGCAGGGGGACAATCGGGAAGTGAGCGGATCGGCGGCATGTTCCGGCTCACTTCCCGATCAATAGAGCCGACCTGTGACAGCTTCTTTGCCACAGGTCGGCTCCAACTATGAGAATGAGTGGAAATCACTCACCTCATAGTTCTCCTTTAATTTCATGGTTTTCCATTTATTAAAAGCTGTAAATATTCAACATGTGTCGCCAGGAAAACAGGTAGCCCACCAATGGGAATACTGACTTGTTGTCCAGCAGAAGGGTTTCTGTCCTCAGGTCTCCGTAGATGATTTCTACCGAATGGAGCTTTTCTACAAGACTCAGCAAATTGTATGTCAATAGAATAATGACCTCCTCAGTCAAAGTCTCTCTGTCTTCAAGTATGTCCTGGTGGAGAAAACAAAATAACTTGTTAGGTGAATCCATGACTGATCAATACTACACTAACCAGCAATAGGTGGGAAAAGCCTGAGGTAATGTGAGCAAGTCATCCACTGTGTGTATAATAAAAAAAGGTAGCAATGCAATTAGATGTGGTAAACATTACAAAACATTAAAACTTAAAGTACATTCACTATATAAAAGGTTTTTTTTAAGTTTATGGAGAGAACTATCAAATAATCAGGATTGAAGAATTGGAAGGGTATATGAAGTGCCTTAGTGCTGTTTATGGAATGATGTATAGATTTTATTTATTTTTCATTTTTGTATGTTTGTTGTCTATGTTGGAAATAATAAATATATATTGAAACACACTTAAAAGTACAAAAACAAAAAGTAGAAATTAAAACACAAATGAATGCGGTATGTATTAATAAATCATTAAAGGGATTTTACATCAACTGACCTAAAGTGACACTAAACTCAGGAGTTGAATTATTATGCATTCAGGTACCCTATTAACAGAAATGTATCCTATTTGTGTATCACTCGGCTGTAGATCCTCAAATCATCTCTGAATTGGTGCTGACACCGTCCTTCCTTCTGGAGGGTGGCTACTTATGTTCCCCATGGTCCCCGAGTGTTGTAAAGTAGCCACCGCTCCAAGCTGAATCCCATAATGGACTACACATACACTTTATGGTAATAAAGGCTTATTAACTTGCTGCTTTGTGGCTGGTATTGCGTAATAGAATAGGTAACAGCCAATTACTTAAGGATAATGGCTTATCTGTTGCACCAACTTCACATCTGGGTTTAACAATACATAAAAAATATGTGAAAGGTTACTAAGCATTCACCTGAATGGTAACGTGACTGGCATCCTTATAAATAGTCAGACAGCCATCCTGGAAGAGGTAGCAGTTGTTTTGCTCTAAAAAATAATTGCCAAAAGCCTCCCCGAGCCGCTCTGTCAGCTGCTGTGTAATGTAGAAATCCCATGGAACTGGCTGGGAATCCACCTGCAAGAGGCCACATTAGATAAGACTTAATTCAGGTTCAGAATATAAAAAATTGCACTAAAATGAAAACAAACTTTACATTAGCACAGGGCTGGATGTTTTATGTTTATTAATACCAATAAGTACAAGCAGGAAAAAGATTTAACCAACCTTTATAGCTACGTATTTCACACTTTCCATCTCCAGATCTGGCAGTGTTGCTATAAAAAGGTTGCTGCTCTCTCCTAAACTAATGTCACTTCTTAGTTGATACGTTTCACCACCTGTAAATAAAAAGTTAACCAGATAAAAACACAAGTCAGTGAAAGAAAACACAACAGGCTAAAATGTTGTCATGAAATAATTGGACCTACAAAGCTGGATGGGGTGCATACAGCCACCTATTCATAGAACTCATTCAATGCCTCACATTCTAATACAGGGGAGCAGATATCGGACAGCAGTAAGATGACGTCTTCTTGCCCCCATTCCAGGACATAAGGACTAAACTATATGGTCAAAGTTTGCACACTTTTGACCTTCACACCTGCACTACATGGCTAAAACTATGTGGACACCCCTCCAAATGATAGAATTGAGGTTTTCCCAGTGAATAATTCTGCAAATGCTCCATGTAAAGACATTTGATACATTTGTGCACTTCCAACCTTGTATAGATTATCTGCAGATTTTCTATGGGCAGATGGAAAGAGTGCAACGGATTCCTCCATCTACGCTAAACTGTGTGGATGGAGGAATCTCCCGGTGGGCCAAGCTTCAGTATCTTGCTAGTCGGCCCCACTGGCACTCAAAACACCTTAACAATGCCTGCATCCAATCAGATTGTTCAGGTATTGACAGGCAGTGGGGCCGACTGGCAAGATACTGAAGATTGGCCCAGTGGGAGATTCCTCCATCCACACAGTTTAGCGTAGATGGAGGAATCTGTTGCACTTTTTCCATCTGACCATAGAAAGTCTGCAGATAATCTATAGGTGTATGGCCAGCTTAAGGAAGGCACTTTCCTGTTCCAGCATATCTGTGCCCCTGTGAGGGGTTTGGCAAGGAGGAAACAGAGTGGCCTGCACAGAGCCCTGAATCCAACCCTTCTGAACGCTTTTAGGATAAACCAGGACAGCAATTGCAAGTCATGTGTTCTCATCCAACATCAGTACCCGACCTCAGAAAAAAAATTTTTTTGGTTGAATGCTCACCAATTCCTGCAGACACACTCCAAGGGTCCATGCTTTCGAAATGGAAAGTTCAACAAGCTTATTCAGGTGTGCTGGTCACATATCGAACTTTAGACCATATAGAGTATAGCCTCAGATCCAAACATCTTTGCTATAATGTCATCTATAAAACCTTTGTTCCCCCATCATGTTCAACCAGGTGGGACCAAAGCCCAAAAAAGAAGGACACTTGGGAAGTATTCTCTATTTAGGAACTTTGGTAATCCTAACCATTATGTTGTCCTGCTGATTAAAATATATATCAGCTACAACTGGAAAATGAACTTAAACGTTACCATCAAAACCCAGGGTAACAAAAAAGAAAGGAGGAGAGCGCTGAAGACACATCTTGTTGAATCCTTCCATAATGCCTATGTCTCTATATGTCCCTATATGTCTATATGGCTGCCAAAAAGTTAAACATCTTCAAATGTTGGGTCTGTACACATTCACTAATTTCACACAAAACCGAACTACTACAGTGCAAGAGACAGACGAGGAGGCAGCATACTTTATCAATGTTTGTCAATCTGAATAAAATAAAACTATGTCGCTTTTGCTAGCCTCTACGGAGCCAACACAGCCCCATGTATGTGTTAACTTTATACCCATATAGAAGGCGTGCACCTATGTTCGGAGTTCCCTTGTGAGATATATGGGAAATTAGGTTTTTGGTCTGTGTCAGTTATTTATTGTGTTGGCCTAAACCACGTTTGGATACTAAACAAGGACGAAATAATATCTAGGCGCCAAGACTGATGGACATTGTTATCAGAGTTAGGAATTTCCCTATCCTTGGAGTTGTGCCCGAGATATGGCTTTATGCTGCAGATGATTAGGGTCACGGGAGGACATATGCTGTCGAGATCTACCCAGCTGCGCGAGTGACAGCTGGCTCTGCCTATCTAGAGGCAGAGCCAGCCGTGCCCGCCCCTTCCCGTTCGAGAAACCTGGCCAGTCGAAGTCTGAATGGATGCTAGCAATACCAAAGGCTGCAATGGTAAACCTCTCATACTCTGTCAGGGTGTAGCAAGTTACACAATGAGACTGGAATTACATAGCTTTTCATATCAATCACCATTTTAATAGTTTCCTCACAATTACTGTATTCATCACAATCTCTTTAATCCTAACATTCACCCAAAACAAAAGAACTACCATTGTAGAAACTGTTTCATTTTTTACCAAGGTGCATCTCTTCCTGGCCCTTGATAGGGGGCATCGGACTGGCCTCCTGGTGGATATGTTCTGATGTCAATAGTTCAGATATGGGCAGCAGCAAGCTTCTATGCAGTTCTTCTAAATCCACAGAGCAGTCTGAAAGCACAACAACATGTTCAAGATCTGTTCAGCCGAATCAGAACAAATACACATTTGTTCTGAACAACAAATGTTCGCAGCACCTTGCACATTCACCATCACATATCATGCATGTAATAATTTAGGAACGCAAACTAGAAAACAAATAAATGTGAGGTTTGGAGTTGCAATCTGGTGGAGGCCTCCTTTGAAGAAAAAGTGGTGTGCATACATTTTATATATATATATAAAAAATATATATATTTTTATTATTATATATACACACACACACTATATATGTATATACAGTAAACGCCCCGTTATCCGGATTGGTAGATTCCGGATAAATGTAGTTTCTGATTGCCTAAGGAGGTACTGTTAAAAATAGGTTTAACTAATGCCATACCCCATACTATACCATATCATAAACTCTGTATTGACCATATTAATATTGAAATAAAGTAAATCAAAAGCAATTTAAGACAAATAGAGACACACTTAGTATTAGTGCTGTAATACAGGCACTGTGGGTACCTGACAGTGGGACTGGAGATCTACAGTATACTGTACTTTAATCCATGAGCAATACAGTACTGGGAGTGATTGCTTGGGGCACTTATTTACAGGATAATACATCGGCAGTCACACTCTTCGCCCCTGCTTCTCTACCCTCCCATGCTGCAGAGCCCTCTTTCCCTCTCCTACAAGGTCACAGATCCGCAGCACAGTGGATAACACACACACACACACACACTTATTATGTCCCAGCTTGGTTGCCCACTTAGTTCTTTACAGAGATGCACACATATGCAATAATAACCTCTGGTGTCAATCTAAAAGTTAGAAACTGTTAATGTTTTTTGTTTCTTTGTTGACCATCTAGATTGAGTACTGGGCAATTCTAACATTCACACACATACTTCTAATGCTTTTTATAAATTAATTTAACAGGTGCAACTTTTCGCTCATATTCTACAACATGCCTTCTTTAGCACATTTAAAAGCACCTCCAAACCTAAGCATATTCATGTGTATTAGTAGAGCAATTGGTTTCTTTTCAGTTGGACATTCTTTGGTCTCAAATTGGAGGGTAGCTTCAGGAAATCGGTCAGATAAACATACCCAGAGCTTGTTCATACACTCCTGACATCTGGCCTGTATGGTCCGTTTTCTCTTGGACAAGCAGAGTCTTGAAGGTGAGCAGGCTAGTACATCCGGTAGAGACAGACGACACAGAGGAAGGAGTATCTTCTCGACTCGCTTCTAAAATTGGGCTGTCGATCACAACAAAAAAAAAGCAAATAAATGGATTTAGTAACTGCCTTTGTTTCATGACAGTCTCTGGAGGGCATTGTGTAGCATAAAGACCATTTTAGCACACCAAACATTTGATATAGACAACAATGATCGGTTTCAGGAAAACTATTTTAAAAAGGTTATTTGGATTATATTAGTCTCTTAAAAACAAATATTTCAGCAAGCTGGAAAATGTATATGGCAGATGATTCAAAATTTCTATAACTGATGGTCTTGTTTAATAAAACACTTAAAACCTTAATATGTAAATCATTTAGTCAACACTCAAGTCTCTCCTATTTTAAAATACTAGGAGAAGCTATAGGCATGTGACAAAAGTACAACCCATGGAAATTGTGGAATTTTTCATCACATTTGAACATTCAAATGTTCGATCTTTATTCAAACAGCGCCTACAGATAAAAGTGACATATTTGAACAACACCTAAACGAAAATGCAGATTTGACACAAGGAAAAGAAAAGTCAAGTACACCTCCTACATTTACCACCAATCCATGAAATCAGAATCCAGTGTTCCAGATAAGGTGGTTGATTAGAACCTCCCTAGGAAGTATGTAGGTGCAGCCTTGTCTTATTTAAACCACAGACATCTAGGGTCTGGTGTTCTCTTTGCCACGGACATGTAATGGTATCATCTTGCCAAGATCAACAGAGCTCTCTAAGGCCCTTAGAAAGAAGATTATGGATGCCTATGGGTCTGGCAAGAACTTTTTAAAGATCGGCAAGTTATCAATCATTCCACTAGAGGGAAAAATCTACAAGTGGCGTAGATTTCAAACAACTGTTAGTTTAGGACCGGCCAGCCGCGCAAATTCAGCCCAAGAGCTGATCGTTTGGTACTGCATGAATTCTCCAAGAACCCGAAAATTTCATGAGAGTTGTAGGAAACTCTTGCAAAAATTGTGTCTCAAAGTTCATGCTTCTACAACCAGAAAGTGACAATGGTGAAAAAGTCAACAAATTCCATGGGGTGTACTTTTTCATATGACTGTATGTCTGGCATTAGCAGTGACAGTGGATAACTTTATGACATGACATTCAGCTAAAAACAACCCCAATATACACATATATACTGTAAATCCTACTATGGTACCTCAACTTCTTGGGACAAGCAACTTGTTGGAAATAATCCTCATGCACTGGAGTTTTCTCTCTAAGTGGAAACCTCCCCAGACCAGATGTGTCACTATCTTCTGACTCGTCCTTGGCCTTGTGGAACGGTGTGGACGCCAGCTGAGCAGCTCTCACGAAGTCACAGGTATCGTCTGGTTCTGCAAACAAAGTCTTGTTCCTGTCCGACCCAGACACTATAGCCTCTTCATTCAAGGGTTCAATGCCATCTAGAGTGTCCTTTAAAAGTAAGATCATGCAAGAATTAGCAGTCATGAGCTATTGAAACACCTCAACAGTGTAGATTTTTAATCACAAGATTTGGGCAAAGAAGAGTCTGAAAATCATGGCCATGCTTACATTACACACAGATCAATATAAAATGCATACATACAAAACAGAGACACAAATTCACTAGAGTTGCAGTAGACCGATAGCTTACCGTGAGTGGGACTTCGTCATGAACAAATGCTTTCGAAACAGCAGCAAGTGGGCGACGGGCAGTTGATGGCATCCTGTTCAGATTCGGAGAAGCTCTATTAAAGAAAAGGTTTTTGATAACCAATAAAATAAGGCGAGGCACAGCATGCATCTTTTAGTATATAATATTATTAGTACGCTAGATTGTGTGCTCGATTGTGAAAAACTACGGGCACCTTTATTTGGTGTCAGCTCTACATCTCTTATATTGTCACACTTACAGAAATGGAAAATAAAACAGAGGTGGCAAAAGTCAGCTCCCCAAATTCTTGTAATGGTGTCTGATTTTTTTCATGGAGGGGTAAGGTTTAGATCTTACGAATAACACTTTTTCGTAAAACAAGGTTGGAAAAAAAAAAAAGGAAGCATCACTTACAGGCTAGGTTGTGTTTCACATGTTTCATCAAAAATGGTGAATGGTACATCAGATGTCAGTGTTGGCAAAAGGTCTGTAAAAAGGAATGTAAAGCAATGGATTACCTGCAGCAGCTGGGTGATGTTAAATGTATTCAATATACACAATAGGGACTGAGCTGTACTGGGCTAGAATGTGTCAGCAAAACTAATCTGGCTCCCAGTTCTGAAGGTATGCCCGCTAACTCAGGAAGGGTTTACCCTCATCTCCCTATTGGCGATAATAAGAAGCAAGTCTCTGGTTTTACCTCCATATATTATTTTCTTCAGCTACTGCCATTTGTAATATATATTTAAACTTGTATTCTTCAAACAAAATCTGACAAGCCCTATATTCATGTATATAAAGAACGCCAATCAGATGCTCATCTGCACTTACCAGTTGATTTGGGTTCGTTCTGATTCAGAGGTGAGACGTCAATGCTTTAAAAGAAAATACAAACAGACTTTTATGTACAAATATCCAAACATTTAAAACACCATTTATATAGCTCAGCTACAAAAGCAGGGGCACATTTCCAACCACAATATTGCAGGAATCATTTTATCCTCATGCTGCAACTTCTAATGCAACAAGAAGTAGGTTATACAGATCAATGTCTGAGGCTGGCTGGCTGACCAGAAAGATATTGGGATTTTTTGGAGTACTATATCTTTCACCCCCCCCCCCATCAAAAAATGTTTAATTTAGGGCAACTGTTTTTCTAGCTTTTGATAACATGAGAAAGGGTTACAACTCTTGAGATTTCTCCTCACTTCCTGTCTGAGAAATAGCAAGAAGAGGAAATCTTGCATGTGTGAGGAAATCCTACCTGTGAAAGCTGTCACGGGACATTGGGAGATTGGGAGATTTCCCCTAGGTTCCAATAACTGGAAAATGCTGGTATAACCCTCTCAACAGGGACACAAGCAACAATAAAAACTTGAGGTTTTAACCCTTCTATATTATATTCAAGAACTAGTTACTGCATACTACTTTCCAACAAACCATTTCTGCTGCACGCTGCCTATCTGGGGCACTCACATTCTTCTACTGATTCCAGAAATCCAGCTATATTACTCTGCTTCTGTTATATGGACATACCTAACCCCTACCAAACTCGCACTGCTTGTTTTATAAAAAGCATAATCAGAATGCACACCTTATATGGGAAATACAGGGGTTAGAATAGTTAGAAAAGAACAATGGGAAAACATTTTTTGGTGTTAGTTTTCTTTTGAGTCACATGAGGACATACTAAGGTATTCCTGTGACCCGTCTATCCCTCCAATAAGCGCTAGAGGAAAGGAGAAGGAAATACCTCTAGAGAGTGGTGACTGACAGTCACACTCTCTGCAGGGAGAAGCTGTGAGCTGAGCGATCAGTGGTATGTGTTCGCTCAGTTCCCAATCTATAGAGCTGGCATGTGAAAGCTGCAGTGTCACACATCGGCTGCTCTGTCAAATTACGCACCGTTGCTTTTTTTATTCTTGATATTAGTAACTTTGTAGGATAACCTGATCAGCTATGGTTCATCTAACGCTCCTGAGCTCCTCCAAACTACCAGCATGAGATGTTCTAATGCAATGAACAAAATCTTGGCCTTCACACCATCAAAATGCAATACAAGTCAGAGGTTTTTGCTACTAGTAGCTGTTCCATCTTTAGGAGTAGAAGCAGGTGGATCTCTGCAAGATTACCATGTGCTGGATTCAGTCTAGCAAACTTTCTCTGTCATTAAGCAGTTCTAACCTGGGAAGGAAGATCATTTAGGGCAAGTGGCAACATATAAACTAGAGATGCACAGATACCAAGCACCGTACTTGGTACAAGTACTGATACTTTTCCAGCTCCAAGACTAGACTAGAGAAAAATTCAAAAGCTAAAAAGGCAGCTGTCATTTTAAAGGAGCATTGGCTACAGGCATTCCTGTTTTAATGTATGATATGATAGAAAATAAATATAATAGTGATGCACAGATGCAATTTTTTCCTGACTAAGTACTGCTACAAGTACTGATACCTTTTTCTTTAGCATCATGTGAGTTTTTCTAAAACAATACAGACTAATGATTTCAGGACAATGATGGAGCACCAGGGCCGTCACAGCTGCAACCACTATGACCCTGGAAAATTCTAGTGAAAATGCCAAGTATCAGCACCGATACAGATACTGGTATCTGAACCTCCCTAATAAAAACTGCACTGCTGCAAGAATTGGTACCCTTCTATTAACTAAAAGAGGAGGAGAGCACAAATCTCTTGGTAAATAGTCTAACACTGCTTTCTATTTGCCCATAGGTCAACATTAAAAAAACAGAACCTGCCTTGGGAACAGGAAAGCAGGAAGGCTGCGTTGCTCAGGATCCACATCATCTTTGTCTGAAGGAGTACAAGCACTGGACACTGTGGCTGGCCCAGATTGGGGCTCACTTTCCACCGTCCCGGACACTCTACTGGAGCCTTCAGTTGGTGCCTCCTGTAAATAAATTGTGAGTAAATTATGCTGTGGATGCTTCAATCAACAACTTCTATCCACAACTCGAAAATATATAACAAGAATCACTTTGCAAAATATAGATTTGGAGATACAAACGATGTGTGCTGCTGAGAATACAAAGACTATAAAAACCTAATGAATGTATAGCCAAAAGTAAAGTAGGGAAGCGTTAAAACCTTATCAGGTTATTTGCTGTTTGGGTCCCACAAGATTTCCCTTTACTTCCTCTCCTGGAGACGCAACAGGAAATAAGAGGGAACCCCATCATAGTAAAGGAATTTCCATCTTAGACCGTTGTCACTGCTACATTTGTCTGCACTGAATGATAACCCTTTAATACTTGTGCAGTTGACATTAAAAGTTTGGATTTCCCATCAGTGTTTGTGGTCAACAGGTGAAAGGAGTGAATCTCCTAACAGGGTACACAGGCAGCAATAAAAACTTCAAAGATTCTAACCACCCATCACTTTATCCAAACTTAAAAAAAAAAAAAAAAACACACACAGGACTTTAAAGAAGACCATTTATTCCAAGATCATAAAAGGAAACCTGTACCAAGAAAAAGATGGATGCTGCCATCCTTCTGACAATGCTAGTTACCTGGCTGTACTACTTTCAGAAACTGACCTGATGCACATATGAAGTGCAGACTGAAGTCAGAACTCCTATGCTGCATATGTATTCCAAATCATTGGATCAATATGACAAGGGAAATAGTTTTTCCTCAAATAAATCAGCTATCAAACTTCCATACATTGCCACATGTTAAAGGAAGCGGGTCAGGACAAAAATATGAGTGCTGCCATTGTCAACTTGCTTTTAAAATTGCAGGCTCAGGGTGGTCATCCTGATTAATAGCTTTATTATCTAGTGTGTCACAGACCTGGAAAAAGCATGCAGGCAGCGAGTCTGAAAAGTCTAAACTCCACCTGCACGTCTGTTCCAAGTCAGCGACTCACTATGTGGATGCGCAGAGCACTTTATTCAGCTCCATACATTATCTATATGTCTGTTTTGGGAGCAGTGGCATTCATCATGCTTTCTCAATTGTGAATATATGGGAACTGTTTTGCTGTGCTTTATGTAGAATGTTTTTTATCACAGCCTATTGATGTTCATTTCAGATTCATTGTTCAATACCTCCTTTCATATCCAAGCCGAGATGTTATTATGAAGATTTTCCATTTAAGATGGATTTTATTACAATATCATAGGAGGTGCTGACCAACTCAGAAAGTACTACTAAAGTGAGGAGCTTTGGCCACCTTCATCTAGCCGGCTGGCATGCATGCCTACAACAGAGTCAAATGAAAAACCTGATTGTATTCAGTGGCATTGCCAAGACCGGATTGGCCAGGGATGGAGTTCAATTCTATCAAACAATAAGAGCAGATCAACGTAGATTCTTTATAAAACCAGTTATCATAACCAGCTGCTGAAGCTCACGTTCTAAAGAGCTAATGTATCACTGAATTCTTTTAAGTTCCATGCGTCTATCTTTACCATACAGTACCTAAAATCCTAATGTACAGTTCAAACCCCTAAAAAACACATTGGCAGTTTTATTTGACCTATGAAATAAAACAAACAATATTGGACTCTACAGTTACTGGTGTGGAGATCTTATCTTGCCTCAAACTTAAGGATCCTGCTCTGGTGCCTATTAGAGGTCCCCTTGTTTGCAAGAGCTCCATAAAACGGTGTGCATTCTGCAGTATAGCACCTGACATCAATACTCTTCGAACAGAAAAAAATAAGGCTGGCTCATTAAATTTCCTATTATTCATTATAGTAAAAGGAGCTTCAAGCAAAAACTGTTACAGACAGTCAGTCATGCCAGTCCGTACATAAAGCAAAAGGTATTTAGCCCGATCACATAAAAGTCAAACAATCGGGGTAAAGGGTAAGCAAAACAAGTCGGCTCCTTTCTGATTTATAATTAATTTCAAAAATTTCAGGTCAGGAGTTTGCAGAATGGAAGTCAGTTTGTGGCCAACTGCTAAATGATTAATATACTATAATATACTTTCTTTAAAAAAGTGCAACACAAAAAAAAAAAAATGCATTTTTACTTTTTAGGTTTATATGGGTAAACTGTACTGAGCCGTATGGCATATCCTTCTGAAAATGTTAGCTGTCTGACAGCTATGATAAATTAATGGCTTCATTATTTTGAGTCACTGACCCAGATGGAGAATGCAGATCTACAGTTCTGGCTTTACTGTGACATTGCTGATTTTAAGGTTTGTCCTTTATCAGTGGTTTAAGAACTGTGCATACAAGAGTAGTCATACAGCAGATTGCATACATACTACAGATATACACAATTAAATATATGCAACACATTTTATTAAAATTTGGTTAGGAAGAAAAGGAGGATGCCAATGTCATAGATCTGAAGGACATTTTACTGAGTCTGAAGTATTGTAAAGACGTGCTGGAGATTGTTTAGACAGTACAGAATAACAAAGTTGTAGTTGAAGCTCACATCTGGCTTGACAATGCAGCTCCTATCCTACCTCCACGCTCACTTCTTCTTGGTTTTCAGTGCATGGGCCTTTTAGCCTCTTCTCCAATTCTTCAATCTGCCTCTCCATCTCCTGTCGTCGAAGAGCACTGGCTAGGAGATCTTCTGCAAAATCAGAGAGCAAGATCAGCTTTTTTAGTATCAACCACCTCATAGAAAACAGTCATTGCTTCTAAAGGTACCAGATCCTCCATCTTTTCACAGAACAGTCAGGTTTAAGAATGGTGTCTTACGTTTTAAAAAGGTAAAGCAGAGATCATCACAAAAACTAAACCTGGCCTTACCCTGCTCGAAATTTGACAGGTGTGTGGCATGCCTCCATTCGATAAACATTCGACTTTTGTTGGAGGAGCCAGTCCAAAACTTCTCGGCTAAACAGTGACTGCAACAATATACTGAGCTTTGGGTCACAGGAGGAGGTTGGTATATGTTCTCCCATGACCCTAAAGAGAACTATGGGATCAAAAGGTTACCCCATAGTTCTCTTTTAAGAGCTAGTTCACACCAGCCTCAGTGCGTTACGGCCCGATTCAGTGCTGGAATACAGTGGATCGCATCTCGACTGGCTCACTGCGTTGTGGGGCGGAAGGGGGCGTTGCATTATAGTCAATGGCACTGCAGCCACGTTACCCGGCCGCAGTGCAATCGCACGCATCTGAACGCGTGGCACTTCAATGCCTGCGTTCCGGTCTGGTGTGGTCAGGAAAAAAAGTAGTACATGACTTCAATGCACTGCCAGCGTCCCTCCTGCCCCAGAACGCAGTAAACTGGCCTGGGATGCAATCCAGTGCGTCCCGTCACCTGGGGCTGGTGTGAACTTCAGAGGCTACCCCTGCAGTGCGAGGGTAGCTTCTGAAGTCCTCTTTAAAAATCCTAATATGACTATTCAGCTTAAAACAAATCTGTACTTTGCATACATAGAGGCAAAATCGACTCTTCCTCTCAAACACTCCCCATTCTCTTTACTCTCCTAACACACCACTCAGCTATCTGGAGTGAAGGGCAAGTAGAGTGTCTCTATAACCTCCTCCCCCCTAACAAAATGTAATATATTACAGCTTACCAGCCCTTAGATGAAATGGCTGCATTGGATTTCTTTTTCAGGTTTTTTTCCCTTGACTTTTTGGTAATTCCTGCAAATAACATGCTTCCTGTCCATGGTTGGCTACGCTGACTCACCCCTGGATGGACTTCAAATATGTCTTCCTCTCTCTATCTCCATTACATGGGGAAGGGGATATTAGTACTTTACAGAAGGAAGATAATATTCCTTGGGTTTTCAGTTCGGTTCACAGGAAGTAAGAAGGACATGGCATTATGGCAAGAAAAACGGTTTTGTATTTGCTGAAAATATTTTTGAATAAAAACAAAATACAGCCACCAGTACTGGTAAGCTGCAATATATTACATTTTTGTTATTGGGTTTACCCATTGTTTAAGCTCTGTGCAAGTTCTGACCAGAGCAACTTGGAGCTTACACGGGGTTCTTTGCTTTTACAGGCAATCGGATTAATGATGGGAGTAGAGGTTGAGAGGTGTGAAGAGAAGGAGAGTATAAGCAGCTAGGGTGGGGGTAGCATTTAATAAGTAAAAAGTTAAACTTTACATGAAGCAATAGAGCAAATGTCAGGATTATTAAACCATTTTACTATTTGTAAAGGAGACTTATGGGGGGGAGGGAGTGATTTTCACTCAGCCTCATAATCTGAGCCGAGCTGTGACAATCTAGCTGTCACAGGTCAGCTCAGTAGATCGGGAAGTGAGCGAACACCTCCCCTGTCCGAACCTCCAGCACTGAGTGGCGGAACAGACGGGGGGCGGGCACAGCTGGCTCTGCCTCTCGATAGGCAGAGCCAGCTGTCAATCCCACAGCTGGGTGGATCTCGACAGCAATGTCGGGATCCGTCCCGGCTGCGGCGTCTCAGTATACCGCGAGCTGTAGACTGAGCTTTGGGTCACGGGAGAACGCTAGTTTGTGCTCTCCCGTGACCCTTAGGAGAACTATAGGGAAAAGCCCTGACCCCATAGTTCTCCCTTAATTAAAAAAAAAAAAAAACAAGTATTTTGTCATGAAAAAAAAAAAAAAAATGATTTTCCCCAAGCTTCCAGTCTAGACTCTGGATACCAATATTTTTATTGCAGAAAGGTGGTTTTTTTTTAGTCCGCAGTGAGATAAGAGGATCAACATTTATAGATAATGACACACCATAAACACTAACAAGGTTTTTAATATGCTAGATAAGAATGTAACTCTGGGCAGAGATTGTACAGGAAGGCAAAGATTACTTCCTCTACAAAGCACCTCATGTACTAGATCACTGCACATCAATTTAGGTATATTGATTCTCAATTCATTTCTTCTTAGGTTGTTAAAGCAAACCTGAACGGAGAGACTGACTTCTAAAACTCCGGCCCTCCAGCTGTGGTTCAACTACAAATCCCATAAGGCATTGCAAGACTGATAACCACAGGCATGACTTCCAGAGGTAGATGCATGATGGTAGTTGTATTTTTACCACAGCTGGATGGACCTAGTATGTCTAACCCTGCCTCAGAACTTTGAGTTACTGTCCTAGGAAAAAGCATCCAAATAAAAAAGTCAAAAACTCCTGATGTTAATACTCGTTCTGGGTCAGTGACTCAAGTGGGAAAGTCTCTGGATATCTATAACCTAGTAACATTTCCAAAAGGAGCCTCAGAATGGCAGCCAACTAATCTTCTTACAGTTTGTGATAATTGTTATAGAGCACATAAACAGAATAAAATTGATGGACTAATGTCTTTATTCAGCCTCAAATACTATGTAACTATGTAACTATGTAACTGTAGAATTGGACTACCTTCTCTCTTCTTGCGGACCTTCGCCATGTACATTTCTGCACGGATTTCCTCAATAGAAAACTCTTCCATTCCAGCATACACTTTGTTTTTACAGTACATAACCTTCTCTTCTTTTCCTTGTGTGCTGCTCTGCAGTCTCTGTAGAGGATCCTCCTCCTTGCTATGCTTCCGAGCACTCAGGACACTAGTAACTGAAGGGTTAATCTTGCACGGGGTACTGAGAAGGAAATTATAAGGGGAGAATATATAAAAGTGAATCTTTATTTGCCATCATTTCCTTCTCACGCAGTGCTCATGTCTATTATCAGTAACGTTCTGCTACTCCCTTCTCACACCCCTACATCAAGTCATAAACTTCCTATAACAGAAGATCACTTATTTGTACTTCTGCAGATCAAACATAAGTGAGACCGCATAGTAAAAGCTGATTAAAAGGCAAACACCATATGCAGTTTAAATGCTCTTGCGGGAACCATTCTATCAGCCAAAAGGATTTGTAATCCTATTTTGCCTTTTCTGTGAACCAGACAAGCCTGCCACAAAGCACAACCAGGTCTTTGATTTTTACTACAGCAGAAATGCAGCTCAGTTAAGAGCACATACAAGGACGGAGAAACTAGCACTCAACAGGGTCTTCTTCAAACACAAGCTTTATTAGTTACAGCATAAAAACAGCAGCAAATATTTGCCAATATCAAATATCTGCTGCTGTTTTTATGCCGCAACTAATAAAGCTCATGTTTGAAGATCCCCGTGGAGTACCAGTTTCTCCATTCTTGTACTTGCCATCAGTGAAGCAGAAACCCTGCCGAGCATGGCCGTTCTATCACAAGATTTGGGAGAGGTGGTAGAGCAACCTTTTTTTTTTCCCTACAGTTAAGAACCCCCAGTTCACAGTTTGGACAAGGACAGAGCAAAGTGTACGTCTTCGGGTACCCACATCACAGTAGGCGACACGGATATTGTCCGCATGCTGAATCGTCACAGGATCCAGGAGTCCCCATGTACAACACAGGCAGACACATTATGGGCCCTACAAGCAGTAGTTCTCTCAGTGTGTAAACATTACCTTTTGTTACATAGAGAATTCTGCAGAAATTCTATACTGAAGTGGTGTACTTAAATGCAATGTCATGTTAACAATATCAGAAGAAGTCTTACACTGTCTGATGCTCTGCCAGTTCATCCACATAGGGCGTGAAGCTGGGAAGACTTGGAGTTGGGTCATGGCTGGATGTCTGAGGAGTGCTGCGTGGCTGAAACAAAGCAAAGCAATCATATAAAATGTAATTAAGTCACCAAAAAAAAAACATCTAATATAAAGACTTAACACATTAATTTCCTTTTAATACAGAAGTTTTGCTGTTAAAATGCAGTAAACTTACTAAAGGATGAAAGTGAATGTGTTACCTATAACATCCAACCTCCAGATGTCATTTTTTCCACCAGTGATGAAGCTTATGTACTTTGTCATGCAGAAAAATCAGAGCTCGGAAAGCCAAACCTCACAATAAAGAACCTAATACAAACTATCTGATACTGTCAAGAGAAAGTCTGGTGGGGGCGTGGCCTGGCTATGGCGGAGTAGAGACGCTGATCCTTTGAGCTCCGCTGCTACCCGGGCATCATCCAAATACCTCATCAGCCACTCGTTCTCGCCCGATGTCTAAGAGGTGCAAAGCTGCAGGGGACACGCAGGGGAACCTCTCCGGTGACCTACACCCTTTCTTCGCCTCACCGTCTGTCTCTACACGGTCCGCAACAGCCAACCGCATGGCGCCGCTGGAACCACTGCGGCCTTCCACCGCGTCCGCAACCCGAGTCACAGCGGGCCTCCCTTCACTACTTCCCGTACGGGGGGGGGACCGACGGCTTGGACCTTAGTCTGGGCGGTTCGACCCCCTCCCGTCGGGATGTGGACGGGGAGGGCCCTGGACGACTTAAGCCGCCAGCATAGCACTGGGACCGCGTCGTTGTTTCCAGATCGCCTTGCTGATGCCACTGATGTTATGGTTTTCTTGTTATACCCTGCATCCCCTGGAGCTGCTGGAGGCGGCGCCTGGGGATGTTCGTGGGGGCACTCCAGGACTGCCTGCGCGGCTCGACCTGTAGGAGGCGAGTGGTGTAGGGGTACTGAATCATTGTCGGCTGCGGGAGGGGCGGGGTGACCCGGGTATCCCTGGGGACCCCCTCCCGCGCCTGCATACGAAAGAGACCGACAGCGACTGACCGCAGACACGAATTCGCTCTAGGATATGTGTTATGGCAACCTCTTATACAGTTTGAATTGTTGTTACTTTTTTTTTGTTTTAGTTTAATCCTGATGCCGCGGGTAGCGGCGGCTCATTGTTATATTTGAAATTGTTCTAACCTATAACGTTATTGTCTTCTCCTGCACTGCCATAAAAAAAAAAAAATGTAAGTCCCCCCCCAAAACCCAAAAAAAAAAATAAAAAAAAAAAAAAAAAAAAAAAAAGTCTGGTCATGCACTGGTCATTTTTTTCTCATTCAATCCTACGGGTATGTATGTATGCATGTATAAATAAAAACAGCAAGGATAGAAGAATCAACCCCACTGACTATTGTGCCGCTGTTAGAATACCCAAGCAGTGTACAGTGATTACAAAAAAATAAAAAAACATTTTTTTTGGGCAAACTGAGAAAAGGGGGGCAGGGTATCCGGATTTTCCCAAAGTGGCCAAACACTGGTTGAATTTTAGGCTGAATCAGCAGGACTCCACCAAAAGTCGACCACCGTATAGCCAGCTTAAATGCAAAAGTGAAATAATCCATGTCAGAATTCAAGAAATAAATGACAATCTGCAAATCATGATTGTGTTATCTCTGAGCCATCATCCCAGTCTAGGAAGTAGATGCTGACCATGCAGGAGGCCAGAACAGAGATAGCTCCATCCTGGAGAGGATGGAGCTATCTCTGTAGATGAGTGCATTGCTTGCTATTGTACTCAGAGGTAAATAAAAATGCTATTGGCATTTCAGAGGTAAAACCTGTAAGTGTGACAGTTATACACTAATTAACATTCATACTTAACATGAATCCTTATTTGGTGTTTAGGGGGTCTTTTCAGACCTGCTTTTTCTTCTTACCCGGCCGGAGTTCCACTGCCCTGCTTTTTGCTCATTTTCTTTGGCCCGTGATTGAGGCAATGTTGCCCAGGGTTCAGCAGAAAGTATTGGCTGACTTTGAGGGGCAGGAATGCTTGAGTTTTCATCAAAGACAGCAAAGCGTGCACGGCTAGTTTGGAGTGCTGGTGACCTATTCTTCCAATTGTGTATTTTGCACGGTGCCATCCGTGGAGTTACTACAAGCACCATCTTTGTTTATTGGCCGGGACTGCTGAAAGGTGTGCGGAGAGTATCCTCACCAATTGCAATTTGGCTTAAGTTACACTTTAAAAGTCTTGTTACTTGCATTTCTAGCGAGTGTCAGAAAATGTCTGCATTCAAGACGTTTTGTTATGTGCAAAGGCAGTGTGCAAGTAGAGGCACCCAATAGGAAGGATGACTGCAATGAAAGCAGGAAGTAATATTCGCAAGTGCTGGTTAGCTATCCCAATAGAAAAAACATTTTGGTAAAGCTCTCTTGGAAAAAGCAGGAAAAAAAAAAAAAACCTACAGACATCCACAGCGTAAATACATTGTCGAGTCCTTTTGTGTGTTATGACATTTTCAGGGATACCAAGAGAAACAGATTTCTGAAGCAGGACTTACGTTTGATAGCGTCTCCCACTCTGCTCACTGGAGCTCTTGCTTTATTTTTCCCCCTGGCTTTTAAATCCACCAGGGAACTGCGCTGAAGTTCAGAGGATTCCGATTCCTCATCCTCTCCATCAGCGAGACTTTGAAACACTTGACGAGAAACCCGGGCCTGGAACTGCCTGCAAGATAATTTTAGGGAAAACGATTTCATAATTTAGACTATTGACTATTGCAGCACAAGTTCATGAGAAATGTAAGTTCTTACTGTGAGCCACATCATCTGTATATGTAAATTAAATGTATATTAAAATCTTTTAATTCCTCATATTCAAGTGTGTCCCTTTCAGCGTTTTTCCGCCCGCCCCCTGTACAGATGCCTCCATCAGCTAATAGAGGCTAATAGCGGCTGTGTCCGTCCATAGACACACAGCCCTGTGGCAGGCAACTCCCCTTCTCTCTTTGATTAATGGCAGAAGGAGCCTATGGGTCCTCTGCCATCAGTATCCTCTCCCTGCAAACAGGAAGTACGGGGAACGGAGGATCACTTCGGGACCGGCGGCAGGGATGAGCGTCACTGACAGGTAAGTGTGGGCGGCACAGGGTTGGGACTTGGGGAGAAAGGTTCTGGGCAGTTTTTACCAGAATGCAGATAATGCATGAAGGTAAAAAACGTCCAGACCTTACTACTTTAACTGCCATGTAATCACTAAAAATTCTAAAAGCAAATCTCACATATCGTAGTTGAAGACTCCAGATGCCTGCCTGCAATTTTCAATAGGCTGCCCTTCAATATCATGGGTGGCCTAACCAAGTAAGGGCTGATGCACGCCGGCAGCAGCCGTGTTCTTGTTATAACTACTTCAGGACAGGGCGTTTGGCGGTCCTGAAGTAGTAAAAGGTGCCATCTTCAGTGTGCAAGTGTCTGCTACATGTCCTGTTTTTCATATTTGATATTGTAGCAAATAGTGGCTAATCTAAAATCCCTCTAAGTGGGGCCCTGCATTTAACCTAGCCTCATTCAACCTCCCTGCTTAACCACTGCTGAGAAAAGAATACACAACTTTCAATTAGAGGTGCACCGAAATAGAAATGTAAAAACCAAAATAGAAACAATTGTCAGGCCAAAAACGAAAAAAAAAAAATGTAAATATTTTATTTTTTTATAAACGTTTACATTTTTTATGTTAATTTTTATTTATTTATTAATTTTTATAATATATTTTTTACTTTACTTTTAGTGGCTTCGGGGAAATATTAGGGGTCTAAACAGACCGCTGATATTTACCTTTTAAAAAAAAAAAAAGAGATTGAGAACACAAAGTCCTCAAACTCTTTTTCTGTATTTACATGTTATAAATGAACAGGAATCCTCTATGAGTGTTCCTGTTCTTTGATAACATGAGGACATGGTATGTTTACTATAACCACAATTATGAATGAACCGGAGTGGATATAGATCACTTCCATTCATTCATAATTGAGGATATATTAACCATACCATATCCTCAATTATGTACAAACACTCAGCGATCACTGATCGCTGAGTGTTTGTAGCCTGCTCTCCTCTCTGACACACACTCTCACAGGAGGCTGAGTGAGCGGTGCGAGAGGAGAACCCAGCCTCCTGTGACAGCGCTGTCTCCGCTCTGTGATAGGCGGACGAGCGGTGTGGGAGGAGAGACATCGGCCGCTCACAGCGCTCTTGTCCCGCAGCGCTCGGCCGGCTGTCACTTTCTCTCCTCCCCGCTGGGATACAGAGCAGCGCCCAGCAGGGAGGAAAAAAAATCACGGATGTGCCGATGTATCGGCAGGAAAATGGCATTTAGCCAAAAGTGCCTTTTTGGGCCGATATGTTTCGGCGGTCGATATATCGGTGCATCCCTACTTTCAATGCCATGGCTATCACTGAAAAGCAGGAAGAACAGCATAGGTATGCAAGAAGAACATATGGCTGCCTCTATTGTCCCACAATGAGAACATTGTTTAGTTTGAACATCTGTTTCAAGCATATCTGAAAAAAACAATTGCAGACAACTCCGTTCTCCTTAAAGTGGGACTAAACCCAAAAAGTAAAGATTTGTATGTTATATGGAAAAGCTAAAAGTGTTAATTGTACCGAAGTAGTACCCTGAAAAATATACCTTTTGTCTAATTCCGTAAAAATAAAAAACGTTTAAAAGTAGCAGTGCATTCCTGGTATGTGAGGATGCCTTGACTCTCCTGCGTCTACAGCCTCATAGCTGTATATGTGAACTCTAAGGCATTACTGCCTGTGACCACTAGAGAATTGGAGTGAGATATGGTGATGTCATAACTGTTCTTGCCCATGGTTCTCTCTGCTGGAGGCTGCGACATGGGGAGACTAATTTCCTGCTCCTCTACCAAGATGGCTGCATCCACACAGAGCAGAGCAAGGCATGGTAAGCCAGTAACGGGAAAAGATCAGCTGCAGGTAGATCAAAAGGCAATGCTGGTAATTAGTCTTTTGCTCTCTGCCTGCCTTTTTTGGGGCACAGCTTCCACAGTTCAGTTCCTCTTTAACGTCACTCTTAGCTAGACCCCTTTAGAACATACATAAAGCTGACAGTTTTCATAGTTAACCGATTAGTTGGTGAAGCACAAGGAGGGTATGCCCCATCACGATTTCCTCAGGAGATTGTAGCTTGTATGATTGGTTCATTAGGAATTTACATGAATGAGATGAGGTGGGAGGAATCACTGCGTTCGGTAGGGGAGCAGGTATTCCACTTATCTGGAAGTGTGAAAAACATAAAGGGGCCGGCAAGCACCAAAGTGGCAGGTTTTGAAAAAACGGTCATCGGAAAGTGCAAGTATATTGCCTCTTCTCTTGCAGGATTGGTATTTTGAGCACATTACTCTGTGATCACTTTTAAGTTTATCTATAGCCATTTTTTGGCCAGTGGAAACACCTATTCCAATAACATCTACAAGGGTGTTTTCCCTCACTAAGTGGAGAGATTTCCACTTAGATCCGGCTGTGTCTCTGGGACAGGAAGTGAAGGGAAATCTTTCCAGTAGGGAAAGCTCTTTACTTTTCAGCTTCTTACTTGTGACTGGCCTCCAGTTTATCCAGAGGTTCAGCTCTGCGTTGGATGCCATCCTGGAGTATGGAATCTGCTTTCTTGAAATTGCCTTTAGCTTCATATTCCTCTGCCCAGGCAATGTACAGCTGTGCATGTAGCAGTCCAATCCCTTGGCTGTGTAAGTAGCTGTACAAATCTACTGGTTCTGTGCAACAATTAGCCTAAAAAAACAATAGAAATCTGTGTAGGAATCAAATTATTTGAAGAACAACCATAGACAAGAAGTATCAGCATTCAATGAAGTCAGCTCGATTTTAAAGATCAAGTAGATAATTCAGGATTCCTTAAAAGTAGAACTGAAGCCAAGCAATTTTTTTTGTTTAAGTTTTGGGTAGCGTAAGGGGTGGATAATAACCCCGGACAGCTTTTTTTTGTGTCATGTGTCCAAATTGGGACAATTCCTCCAAATCACAGTAGAATGGAGAGGCACTGAGGCTCTGACCTTGGATTAATGATGGGGCTGGGTTTAGGGCTTGGATAGAAGTCCATGTATTGTGTACAGCATGGGTCAGGAATAAAGGGACACAGAACTGACCTGAAGTAGTTTCAGAAATAAAGTGCCTACACTTCAGCAGCATTGTTACTTTAGACAAAATGTTAGACCCCCTGTCAGGTTCATTCGGCATGCGTTCTATATAGATTTAAAGGATTATTTTATCCATTTAAGAACCCTTCCACACGGAAGCCTGTCAGTTCTGAGCAGCAGGGGATTCCTGACGATTAGAGCACTACGGAACGGATGTCACCCTTGTGGCATACGTGTCTATCCAGTTTTTCCCTTCTTGCGATGGAAGAAAAAGCTGAGCTTACCAGACCCACGTTAGGTCTATGAGAGTCAGATGTAAGCGAACACGTGTCTCTGTTCTGTTTTGTTTTCTGGACCTAAATGAAGTCGAGATTAATCGGATGGACGCACGTCCATTTATATCTGGCTACCCATGGACTAACATTGGGCCTTCAACCAGATCCACCTGAAAAACTGACAGACGGACTTGATCGGACCGCCCATCTGAAAGAGGCCTAAGGATTTTAGACCATGTAGTAGGTGTAGATTCAGGATGATGCCTAAAACATATGACCTAGCCTTCTGGGAAGGAAGGCAGAGAAAGGCATTGTCAGAGAAGCACTATGATCTGTGAGAAGTAGTAAATACCTTAGAAAGTGTTACTCTTATACTTTGCATACATGTAATAAAAAGAAGAAAAAAAAAAAATCCAACTCCTAGTGCACATAAATATCATGATCCAATAACTACCTGTGTGATGAGCTGCCCTTCTCCCCATCAAATTTGTATTGTTATACATATATAAAATTTGTGAAACCGTGTAAGCATACATTTCATACTTACAAATTTGATGGCGATGTTAAGGTAGCGCAAATCATCATAATAGCGCTTCTCCTGGTGGAACATTCTGACTGCCCTCTCCAGAAGAGGAGACAGATTGCTTTCCTTACCACCCTGGGGGTATGCCTGTTCTGCCCATTTTATATACCTGAAAGATATTGGATTAGAACAGAGGTTACCACATAAAAATTACCTTTTTAGTCTCAGTTCTCCCATCAATGACAATATTAGATCTGCAATGCAAGTTTTGCTCAGTTTATTCTGTGTGCAGGTGTTAAAATAGCCATTAACCTTAATGAAATAGGCAAGTGTGATGGCAAACGGTAAAAACTTGTCATACTGAGAATGACACTTCAGTTGCAAAAAGAAAAGGTTAAATAGCCATTAACCTTAATGAAATAGGCAAGTGTGATGGCAAACGGTAAAAACTTGTCATACTGAGAATGACACTTCAGTTGCAAAAAGAAAAGCGGTTTTCAAGCACTTCTATGAGCCACATTCAACATAATAGGATTTTGTACTCGCCTTAAAATCCTTTACTTTGCGACTCATGAGGGACACAGGAAGTGTCCCCGTGCCGCCTACAAGAGGATTCTGCCAAACAAAAAAACTGTAGACCAGCCCAGGCCATAGCGAGCCTCAGTTTAATAGCAAAGCAGTATCAAGCGCACGATTATAAACACAGAGGGGTGGGGACTGTGTCTCACTGGGTTTCAAGAAATGTATTTTACAGTGAATACAAAAACTATTTTCATGCTCATCCATTGAGGTACACCTGAAGTCTTAAACCTTAGGGATGTCTAAAAGCAATCCAACTGAGAGGTAGGCAACACAGCCAACTGGCACAACACAAAACAAGAAAGAAGACTGTCTGTAGCTCAAAGAGTCACCTGAAGGTTTTTACATCTGAAGCTGGCTACAGATGAGGCAGAAACACCTAGTAAAACTTATAGAATGTGTGAATAGAAGACCACAGGGCAACCTTACAAACCTATGAAAAAGAGGCCTGAAGCCGACATGCCCAACTAGAGCTCACTACCCTGGTGAAGTAAGCACTAACTAGAAAGGGGTAACCAGATCCTTGAGACCATAAGCTTGAATGATGATCTAATGAAGTCACCTAGAAATGGTGGAAGGAGAAGTCGGGGCACCTTTTTAGGGCTAATCTGAAATCACAGAAAGAGAGTATGACTTCCTAAAAGTGACAGATACTTTCACAGCCCATTTCAAACCCAGGAAATCCAACAAACATTGGCCCAGACTTAACTACAGCAAAGAGAGGATCCATCCCATAGAGAAACTTCTGGGGTAAAAGCCCTTATACTCATACTTAACAAACAAGCTCAAGACAAGTGGACTGATGAGGGAGATGCCCCCATCCCATAGAACTCGGGCTTTAATAGCCATGCCATTAAAGTCAGCGACTGAAAAGTAGGGAGGTAAATCAGTCACTGTGGCAGAGCGTACAGCGCTTCTGCATGAAGTCTTACAAGGACAGCATACTACATCCTCCTGGGCCAATCCAGGGCAATAAGGGCTACCAGAATTCCCTCCATCTTGATCCTGTGGAGCAAACAAGGAAGAACCTAAAAAGGGGAGGAAATGCAAAGTTCAGGTTGTGCAACCAATGAGACACCAATGTATCCACTGCTTCCACCAGCGGATATTTGGACCTGCATATAAACCTGTCCAGCTTGTTTTTGAACTTGAAGGCCAGGAGGCTCACGTCAAGCATTCCCCACCTGTGGCACAGGTCCTGGAACGTATCCGGGGGTATAGACCACTGCCCCAGGGGAGGTATTATGCCAGGAATAAAGAAGGTTAACAAGGCTGTAACATGATATTCTGACCGGGAAAGGATCTTCTTTACCTCTCTCACCACAGCAAGACTTCTTGTTCCTCCCTGATGATAAATGTATGCCACTGCCGTAGCGTTGTCTACCAATCGGGTGACCTTACAACAGGTTGGTCCAATGCAGGACAGCCATATCACCTGAAGTTCATCCACGATGTTGATCAGGAGACAAGATTTTACCGACAACCAAGTCCCTTGCACTAAAAAGAATGCCCAGGATTCCCCCACCTAGCCTGAGTATATCATCAGGAACTTCCAGAACATAGGGAAAGTTTTTGTAGCTTTCATTATTCACAATGAAGGAGAAAGTTATATATCCAATTATTTGGATGCTGCTTTGTTTACATTTTTCGATGGGCTATAGCCCAGAATGCGGTCTACGCTAACCGTCAATGTAAGGGGTCACATCTACAATGACCCCTCTATACCCAGCTATATAGTTACCAAATCTTACTGACATATATATATATATATAAAAAGTCATATCCAAATTACAAAAAAACGTCATACCTGTCCCAGACATCCAAAGGGTCATCACCATTGTAGAAGCGAAGTTCTAACTCAAATGTTCTGAAACAATAAAAAGGTTCTTTTAAATTAAAAAAAGTCTAGTGTATTTACTAAAAGACAAATTTTAAGCAAATGAAATGATACTACGGGACATCCTTGTAGCAAATTATAAATGCAACGATCCTGCTTCTATGCCAGCTGAAAGAATGATGGAAACCATAAAGATCTTTTTCTTGTCTTCTCAAATTAGCTGTAGGTAGTAGTGTTCTAATACATCTACACATTAGCATCTGGTGATGAGCGAGGAGCGAGCTTGGAGGGGTGGCTACTATACAACATACACAAGGATTATGGGGAACAAAGTAGCCACCCTCCAGAAGGAAGGACAGTGTCAGCACCAATTCAGAGAAGATTTGAGGATCTACAGCCGAGTGATAAACAAAAGGTACAGTTTTGTTAATAGTTAAAAGGTACTTCAATGTATTTTGGAAGTCAGGCCGCACGTCATGACCCGCCTCCCGGCTTCCTGATTGATCAGGAAGCCAGGCTGCCTAGCAACAAGTGAAGCTGGCTTCTTAGCCAATCAGAGAGCACGTCATAACCCGCCGCCCAGCTTTCTGATTAGAAAGGAAGCCGACTCCATGCTGCCGATAAAAGGTAAGTATCCTAGCATTTGATGCTCGGTATCAGCACCGATACTAGGATTTATTATTTATTCCCAACTAATTTATATTGAGATTGTAGTTCATCACGGCAGTGAGCTTGGAGCAGTGTCTACTTTTACAACACACACAGGGACCATGGAGAACAAAAGTAGCCTCCCTCCAGAAGGAAGGACAATGTCTGTACCAATTCAGAGATGGTTGGAGGATCTACAGACGAGTGATTCACAAATAAGATACATTTTTGTTAATAGTTAAGTTACTTGAATGATTGTTAAGATTAAACTCCCGAGTTTAGTGCCACTTTAAGAGCTCACTGGATTTCTGGCATGATCAACAAATTTATTTTTGCTGTACTTGCAGCATTTGTAAAGAGACAAAACACAGGGAATGTGCGTGCATTGGGGAATGTGCGTGCATTGTAGATATACGAAACTGTTTCCCCCCCCAGTATACACTTAATTGTGATGAGTGACCAACAAGGTGGTTCAGAAGACAAACTTTTGCAAGTAGAGTGAAGAATTGCAGCAATGGGGAGCTGTGTCCATCTATGGATCTACTACCATGAGTGATTTCCTCTAAAAGTAACCCGTGTTTTCGTATTGTCTCATCATATACTCCATTTGAATTGCCTAGGTTTGTGACAATGCACCTGATATGCCCACTGATTTCAGTGGAGAATCTTTAGCTACAATAATAAAACACAAATACATAATACATCAAGTCTGGGAGTATCTGTAACATCATAGGCAAGGTGCCATGTATCACCACTTCAAAGGAGAACTATGAGGTGAGTGAAAATCACTCAGCCTCATAGTTCAAGCCGACATGTGACAATGAAACTGTCACACGTCGACTCAATAGATCGGGAAGTGAGCGAACACATACCGTCGCTCGCTCACTTCTCAATCATATTCCTGCAAAGAGCCGTGACTGTTACTCACGGCTCCCTGCAGGGATTCCCCCCCTCCTCCAGCGCTGACTGGCGGAACGGACGGGGGAGGGCACAGCTAGCTCTGCCTCTAGATAGGCAGAGCCAGCTGTCAATCACGCAGCTGGGTGGATCTCGACAGTAATGTCGGGATCCGTCCCGGCTGCGGCGGTCTCAGTATACCGCAAGCTACATACTGAGCTTTGGGTCACTGGAGGACGCTAGTTTGTGTCCTCCCATGACCCTGGGGAGAACTATGGGGAAAAGCGCTGACCCATAGTTCTCCTTTAACAAAAACAAGAATGATGTATGTGGAGATATTACGCATCAGGTTGGGGACAGTATAATCACACTCACTGCTTCTGTTGCTGGATGCTATGATGGTTAGAACTTTCTTGCTGGGAAAGAACTTCTTGAAGAGTGGACATAGCTCTCCCTTGTCGAAGAGGCTGAACATTTTCTTTGGACAGCTCCCACTCATCCCCGGCTTGTGCCATGGTGAACTGCCTGCAAAACAAATTATGGTTAACAGTGGAGGAAGATAGAGTCCGGTCAGATGAATCTGATTACAGTGGACTTTTCCACTGTATTATAAATCTCTACATAATCCCAAAAAACAAAAGATTAAAAAAAGTGATTGACAGTATGATTTGGCCTTCTGTGTGTTGTGCGAGAGGCAACATGGTGAAGCCCCATGTGGGAAATAACTACTGAGGTGTGAATGGGACCCAGGACAGAAAGGCAGAACAAAATGATAAGATGTATTGTCCTCTGTATTTGGTTTAGATGGGATCTCCAGAAGTTCTTGTACTGTGCACATTTAGAACATGCCTATAATAGTCCTTACTGTCTATTTCTACAGTCATATTTCTTTATTCTGGACATCCTTTAGTGGATCAAAGACCGGCACCAGCCCTGGAGGGACTCCTGAAAATGACTGGAAAAAAGGGCACGTATCCTTTAGGTCCATTTGAGGTGACATTACCGCTCTCTCATAACGTACAGATGAAGATTTCCCAAGTTCTGACAGGCTTAGCCTCCATTAACATTCTGTGACAGACATCTCCTTCCCCTGGCCCGCCCTATAGAAGTCCATGGGGATGTACTGGTGCAGCACAGTCAATGGAGGCCGGGCCCACAAAGTCCCATCATCCATTCACAGGATCTGTAAAGGAATACAAGTCCCATCTGCCACTGTGGGACTAATTAATTCCAGTGGGTATATTCACACCTTGCATCTAGATGCTTTTATCTCTAGTCTGTTTATCTGCCTTTTCAAAAAATAGAAGTCAGGTGCGTCTAGGAATAAATGTGACCTTTCTTAACGCAGCAAAACACATGCAAACATGTGTTGATCCTAGGATTTCATACCAGCTGCATCTAAACACGCATCCTCCTCTCAAATGTACAACGAACAAAATAGGGTTTAATATCAATTGAAATGAAACAGGAATCAGCTAGTCACTGAAAAGTTTTGTACTGCACACTGGTATGTGGTCCTGACATAAGAAGAATGACACTGGTCTACCAAATAGTAGAGGTTTGGAAGAATGTCCCCGGATATAGTACAACGTTTCATGTTATCAGATCCCTCTGATAGCACTAGAATGTGTTTTTACTGCTTGTGTCTAGCAGCCATCTATACCTGGACTGAGAACACAGCACTGAGCGTCGGCTTTATACCCAGGACCGTTCCCAGCACCCACATAGGCCGGACTGCAGCCAGTACTGGGCGCCCTTCCCTGGTATACACAACGTCAGAGGCAGCGCTGAGTATAACTCATTCGGTTACGGTAGCAGTAAAGCGCCATATGTCCGGCATACGGAGACAACAATCCGGTACTCACCTTCTCCCGTTATATCCTCCACAGCACACACTACACTTCCTACATTCAAACTACACGCCGCCTTCTGATTGGCCAGCAGCACGACATGTCACGTGCACGCATCTCTCCGTCACTTGTGCTTTCGTATCACGTGACTCCAAATAATAAACAACAAAGCATTATGGGAGGTGTAGTTTAATTGTTGTCATACCGTTTTTAACTGTAAAATCTGGTGAGGGGAGGAGGAACGGTGTTATTTAATAATGAAGTGCCTGTATGCTGTTTGGCTTTCTCTTGTCTGCTTTGTGTGTGTGTGTGTGTGTGTTAATTATTGGAGAATACGGGATACTCTTTTATAAAGTGCTGCAAGACCAATCAAAAGTATCTGTTAATGAATAGTATTGTGAAGTGCCATGTTAATACTCATTTAAAATCACAAAACCGCACACCATTCATTCCTTTAGCAGCACTACATATTATTATAATAAACCGCTTTAGTCATTCAAATATATATGTCTTCTCTGACAGACAACCTTACAGATTGAAAGCTCTTCCACCATCTGTATCCTCCCTTATATTTTAATTGTAAGTTCTTCCCCTGTCTGTACCCCCCTTATATTCTAATTGATTGCAAGAATAATATAAAGCTACATACTCTGTGTTGCGCACCAGGCCTGTGTGGCGTCTCAGGAGGCTGTGCAGGGTCTCAAGAGGGCTTTGCGGGGTCTCAGGAGGATATGTGTGGTTTCACCAGGGCTGCATGCGGGTCTTAGCAGGGCTGCATGCGGGTCTTAGCAGGGCTGCATGCGGGTCTCAGCAGGGCTGTGCGGGTGGGTGCGGTAACACCAGGGCTGTGTGTGGGTCTCATCAGGGATGTGCACGGTCTCACCAGGGCTGTGCGGTGTCCCCATGGCTTTGCGGTGTCACCAGGGCTGCGTGAGGGTCTCAGCATGGCTGTGCAGTGTCACTAGGGCTGCATGCGGGTCCCACCATGGCAGTGCGGTGTCACCAGGGCTGAATGCGGGGGCTCAGCATGCCTATGCAGTGCCAACAGCGTTGCGTGAGTGTCTTAGCAGGGATGTGTGGGCTTGTGAGGTGTCACCTGGCTTGTCTGCATGTTTCAGCAGGAGGATGCGGGCTCACCATGACTGTTCGGGCGGGTGCTGGCGACAGGAAGGAGTAGGGTAGAGTCCATGAACCCATAGCACTCAAAACCGCTGTTCCTTATAAAAAATGGGTGTTGCGGCAGTTGACGGATGGCAAACGTTTATAATCACAGGATAACCTCAACACGGGCACTCCAAGTAATGAATTAATGGCGTCTGTTTATTGACGCATGAAACATAGCACAATGCATCAAAAAGCAACATTTCTGGGTCTCACAAGATCCCTTTCATCAGGCAAAATGAGCCAATGTGTCACATGCAATGCCTGCCACAAGGAAAGATGGTTGGTTTTGGGAACACTCAGTAAACACAGTAGTACTATGGAGTGGCTGGTAGGGTCACATGATAAAATAAGCATTACATCACTTCCATGCATCCCGAAATTGAGTGTTAGCATCCGCAATATTGGCATGGCAATTGAACAAAACATTTCAGGACTTTCATACAAGATTTGTCAAGTCACTGATGGTATTATTGAATGCTCTGATGAACGATCTTGATGAATTTTCACACGAAAATACGAATGAAAATGTACCAGTGTATGACCAGCTTAAGAATATCATGTATAGTTCAATTGTACATATTCCTCATATACATCATACATATACATCCTTAGGGTTATTTACAAAAGGGGTGAAGAGTTTGTAGAAGGCAGGAGAAGTGAGCAATCTAGGCCAACATAGCTGATTTGGAAAAATTCTCCTATTCAGCTCACTTTCCTGTTCAGCTATGTTGTCCTAGATTGATCACTTCTCCTGCCTTCTCCAAACCCTTCACCCTGTTTACCTAATAATCTATAAACAATGACATTATATTAGAGCCAGATTATGTGTCACTTCAACATTATAATATACAGTGTGTACATCTGTAATGGTTATTATATAATAAGCTGTTGGGTAAAATCATCTTGGTGAGTCAGCGTCCGGTTATTTTGAAAAGATATTATAAATATAAGATGGATTGCAGACTTCTTATATGCAAACTGCAGGATTATAGTCATTGTATATTGTTAAAGAGCAAAGGAATGCAAAAACAAAGAAATGTATTTCTCCTGTACTTTTCTGTGGTAGCTCTAATGTCTAATAATAAAAGGAAAACTCCACTTTCATGGAGCATATAGATTTGCTACATATAGATTTGCTACACAAGCCATTTTGTAATTTAAAGGGTTTGTTAACCTTTAGGCACATTCTCCTCCTGCATTCCAGCATGATTTGCAGATTACAAATCACTATTTCGCGTAAAAAAAAATGAAATGTTCTTGTGCATGTTATACCTTAGGGTCTGCGTGGCCTGACCGCAAAAAGTTCTTGGCAGGTGATCCCCCTCCATCCCTGTAAACTGCAGGATGTGCCAGCGCTCCCCTGAGACAGAACAAATAAGCGCATGGGCTCGTTCAAACACTTTGCATATGCTGCGCCCTCGCTCTCCTCTAGGGATGTGCTTTTCCCCTCTGTAACAGGAAGAAGAGCCACAGCCACCAAAGGGAGAGAGCACGGAGCTTGTTCGTCCTGTCTTGGGGGCCGGGAGGTGCATCCTGCAGTTTACAGGGATGCAGTGGGATCACCTGCCAAGGATTTTTTGTGGTCAGACCACGCACAGCCCTAAGGTATGATTGGGAGGAAACCACAATGCCTGCGTTCCGGTCTGGTGCAATCGCAAAACTTAATGCTTGTACTAACACACCGGTGGTATACAGAATGCCACCAGAATTGTAATTTCCTGCTTGTGCGTGATTAACTCACAGATTCTCCCAGAAGACTGTACTAAGATACAAGTAAAATTTTAGGCATACCCTGCAATAGGGATTTCATTTAAGGTGCGATCCTTCATACTTCTAAAGGGATGCAAACACTGCAGCTTTCCTCAACAAAACACTGAGCGTCCACTAGGTGGTTGTAATGAACCCAACCCTCCCTTTCAGGATTCAGTCTGGAAAGGACATGGTGAAACAAACAGCTTTTTCTTCAGAAATACAGATAAAGGTAGGAATCTTCAACAAAGTTTGGTAAAATCCTTGCAATGTACATTGATCAGCCAGAGAATATTTTTTTTTTTAAATAAAAGTGGAGTAAAACTTTAACAAAGATCTGAAATACAGTATTTGTAAGTTTACACCAAGTGCTCCTATGTATTTTCTCAGTACAGGGCATTAAAAATGAAATGGGCAGTGTAAACCTTTACAGTGCCAATTGCTTGTATGCCTGTACTTGTCACTTATGTTGCGTTACAACTTTATCCCTGCCAATCACTATATCCTGATCTGTTTCCCAAGCCTGAGACGGTGACACTATTACCTTTCCTAATTGGACATTTGTTTAATTAATTGCACATTTTGTCTCTGCATCATCAGACTGGTTTAATTTTCCTTGCTATGCTTGGATGCCCCTCAGGTGATGAATCACCGGGGGACTAATGTCTCTGTCCCTTTCATTTATTAATGCCAACTGGTCACAGGAGACAGTGCTAATTACAGGCACTGTCAGCTTATCCGGCCACTGAGACGCTCCTTAATGTGGTGTGGTGCCTGTGATGATTTATATATCTGGACTGAGCTGTGTTTGTCAGTCTGCCATTCTAGGGTGCTGCTGACAGATCTGGAGTAAAGCTTTTCCTGTGACACATGCGGAAACGTATTTGGAAATGATGTATATACCCTGCATACAAACCCTTTTCTATCTAGATATTCATAAACTGCAGTGTACCAAGCTAATGAACAGGTCATACATTATGCCTATGTCTAAAGTACAATTTTACTGCAGTAGAGCTAATGACTTCCTTAGGGGCTACATGAGCATGTTGTGTGCCAGTCTTTGGTATCTATATGCAGTATGCATTCTTAATGTGAAACTTTAGTTACAAATAAAAAAATTGCTAAGAGAGAGTTTTATAGGAAAATAGACTTTGTGTATCTATTAATGTATCTTCTGCTTAAAAATCCTTTCCCCTCTATAACAATTTTTTTGATAGTTCGCACTGCGCAGTGAAATGTACATCCCAGCAGTGGCGGACCTAAGGAACAAAGGGCCCTGGTGCAAGATTTTTTGTCAGGTACCGTGTTTCCCCGAAAATAAGACACTGTCTTATATTTTTTCTGGCTCAAAAAAACACACTGGGTCTTATTTTCGGGGTAGGTCTTATTTTTTTTAATTATGTATAACAACCCAAAGTTAAAGTAAATCCAAATTAAATAATCCAAAATGGCAAAGTTAAGAATAGTGTGATCAGGGCAATCAGGGGTGCCGTACCTTTCCAAGAGCAATTTGGTAACCAGAAAAAGCGAAGCGCGCTTTCACTATCGATTCCTGGCAGGCGGAGTGCATTTGGTATCCCTCCGCCTGTGACAGGAGTCGGCGCTATAGAGGAAACGGCGGCTTATGCGGCTCTGCTCCCTCCGCTGCCGCCTCGCTTCCTCTAGCGCTGGCATTGTTGGCACCGCTGATTCTCTCCCTCGGCTCTTCAGGTTCCCCCTTATGCTACCCCCTGGTAACAACTGGGTCTTATTTTCAGGGTAGGTCTTATATTTTAGCAATTCCCAAAAATAGTACTAGGTCTTATTTTCGGGGGAGGTCTTATTTTCAGGGAAACAGGGTAGATGTGAAGGAACCAGGGGTAGATGAGGAGGGTCTCACCAGGGGCAGATGCGGAGGGTCTCAGCAGGGTAGATGTGCGTTCTGTGGTTCCACAGAAGACAGCCGCAAGGTCCCCAGCAAGCCAGACCATGCCTTCTCCAATGGCCTGGACCGGATCTCCCAAGCCCTCCCATAACCGGATCTCACTGGGCCCCCCAGCCTCGTCCCTGGTGCAGCTGCACCGGCGGCAGGTCCGCCCCTGCATCCCGACTTATTCCCAGAATCTAAAAGGGCAATGTAACTCTTGCA